GTGCCAGCCCTATGGAGGAGGGTATCAGCCCCATGGATGAGGGTGCCAGCCCTATGGATGAAGGTGCCAGCCTTTGTCAAGGCTGACAGCCCTGTGGATGAGGGTGCCAGCCCTATGGAGGAGGGTATCAGCCCTATGGATGAGGGTGCCAGCCCTATGGAGGAGGGTATCAGCCCTATGGATGAGGGTGCCAGCCCTATGGATGAGGGTGCTAGCCCTATGGAGGAGGGTACCAGCCCTATGGAGGAGGGTGCCAGCCCTATGGATGAGGGTGCCAGCCCTATGGAGGAGGGTGCCAGCCCTATGGATGAGGGTGCCAGCCCTATGGAGGAGGGTGCCAGCCCTATGGAGGAGGGTGCCAGCCCTATGGATGAGGGTGCCAGCCCTATGGAGGAGGGTGCCAGCCCTATGGATGAGGGTGCCAGCCCTATGGATGAGGGTGCCAGCCCTATGGAGGAGGGTGCCAGCCCTATGGAGGAGGGTGCCAGCCCTATGGATGAGGGTACCAGCCCTATGGATGAAGGTGCCAGCCTTTGTCAAGGCTGACAGCCCTGTGGATGAGGGTGCCATCCCTATGGAGGAGGGTATCAGCCCTATGGATGAGGGTGCCAGCCCTATGGAGGAGGGTACCAGCCCTATGGATGAAGGTGCCAGCCCTACAGAGGAGTGTACCAGCCCTATGGATGAAGGTGCCAGCCTTTGTCAAAGGTGCCATCCCTATGGAGAAGGGTACCAGCCCTATGGATGAAGGTGCCAGCCCTATGGAGGAGGGTACCAGCCCTATGGATGAGGGTGCCATCCCTATGGAGGAGAGTCCTGCCCTGCAGACAGGGCCCTGCCATGCACATCTGGGGCTCAGCTCCTGCCCTCCCTGTGCCCCATGGGTGACAGCCAGCTGCCATCACTGCCAATGGAAGCCCCTGTCACCAGCTCTTCTCTCATGCTGGGCCACCTTTGGGTGCCCCATACGGGTGTCTCCCTGCGGGACAGAGAACCCTAGGACCAGCAGGGTTATGGTGTCTGTGTTGTCCCCCATCCCCAGGGAGCACCTGGCGGTCCCGGTGTCCAGGATGCCCGTTACTGCTCTGGCCTTTGCTCCCTGTGCTCGCAGCCTTGGCCCCAAACAGCCCCAAACCCACCCGTTCTGCACCCACAAGTGGACACTGCTATGGGGAGGCTTCACCCCAGCCATGGCGATTTCTGCCAGCAAAGCAGGAACTCGGGGACCAGACCCCGGTGTCCCCTCGCCCCGGTCCCCTCCCCACGTCCCCTGGTGCAGTGCAGCGGTGGGGAGCGGAGATGCTGCTGTATCCCGGTGACACGCGTTGGGGACAGCAGCACCGGGGAGCGGGGACACGGCGCTGCTCCATGGGGATGCTGAGGCACGGGCACGGTGACAACATGGCGGCCGCCGCCGGACTACAAGTCCCAGCAAGCCCCGCAGGACTACAAGTCCCAGCAGCCCCCGCGCGGGGCGGTGACGGTGCGTGCAGCGGAAGTGCGGTGGCGGCGGTGGCGGAGGTAAGGGGCAGGCGGGCGGGCGGGCGGCGGTGCGGTGTGGAGCGGAGTCGGGTCGGGCCGGCGGCGCCATGGCCAAGCAGTACGATATGGTGGAGTGCCCCTTCTGCGATGAGGTGTCCAAGTACGAGAAGCTCGCCAAGATCGGCCAGGGCACCTTCGGGTGAGTGCTCCGCCGGGCCCGGCTCACCGCCACCGGGCGCGGCCTGCCCCGGCCTCAGCCCCCTCAGGCCTTGTTCGGGTCCTTCCCTCATCCCTCCCTCTGCGCCCCCCGGAGCCTCTCATTCCCACCCTGGGGCCCTGCTCTGCGCCAGGATATGGCAGAGTTTACCCTGGAGACAGTGGGGGCATTGCCCTGTGTTCCTGAGGGGCTCTACGGGTCTTGGGTGCAAAGGGATGTGGCTGTGTCGGGCACAGGGCTGCGTGTGTGGTGCTGTGGTGTGTCTCGGTTGGGATTGTGCCTGGTCGGGAGCGCTTGGTGCCTTCCTTGTGCTGCTCAGGGGTTGGTTTGTGTTGTTACAGGGAGGTTTTCAAAGCCAAGCATCGTCAGACGGGCAAGAAAGTAGCGCTGAAGAAAGTGTTGATGGAAAACGAGAAGGAGGGGGTAAGTGTGTGCGCATGGCCAGGTTGTGCTTGAGGAGGTCGGGACTGGGGGGTTCACAGGTGGGAGTTAATCTTTGGGGTGGCAAAAATGCACTTTCACTGTGTTCTTTAACGAAGTTTATGGCTGTAACATGGATGTGGGCAGGATCTCAGCCCTGGGGCCTTTTGTCTCCCCTGCCTACACTGTGATAATGTTGGTCCTTGAGGTTGCCCATCCAAGGTGCCCCTTTTGGCTACAAAGGCACATGGCAGCAGTGTAGTGCAGTACCTGCGTGGTGACTGGGCTGCGAGGAGCTGTTGCAATGATGCTGCTCACACGTTCTTCCTCCCCTGCCACCCCCAGCGCAGGGCTCCACACTGGCTGTTGCTTGTGGAGGAACTGGGTAGCGTGTGAAAGGCACGTGCTCAGGGGTGTGCAGAGATGGGGTAAGTTAACAGCTTAAATGGCATGGGCAGCAGGCAGGGAGCCTGCTCTGCAGCTGGAGCCAGGCTCTCCATGTGCTGTTGTGAACAGGCACCATGGAAACACCTCTGTCTCATGGCAGAATCTTCATCACCACCTGTGCCTGATGATAAATAAACTTGGACAATCCTGGGGTCTGTGTTGTATTTTAAACCTCTCATTGCCATTCAGTGATTTGTCGAGGTGGGGCTCAAACAGGTCCCCTGCCAAGCAGCTATGGTCATGTCTCTCCTGTTCTCTAGGCAGGGGTGGCCTGGTCTCCTGCATCTCTAATCCCTGTTCTCTCCTTTCCAGTTCCCCATCACAGCCTTGCGAGAGATTAAAATCCTCCAGCTGCTCAAACATGAGAACGTGGTGAACCTCATCGAAATCTGCAGGACCAAAGGTAGCTGGCAGGGTCTGCCTTGTGCTGGCTGCTGCCTTTGGTTCATCCCTTCTTTACTGCTGAGCAGCCTGGTGTGTTGTGCTGGGAGCAGGGTCCTCCAGCTGAGCATGGGCTTCTGTTCCTGTCTGTGATGTTGCTGCAGCTTGGCTGGGAAAGCTGTTGTCAGTGCTGCTAGGATATCCCTGTGCCATGGCAGTGAGTGCTGCCTGTGCTGGAAAACTCACCTGTGAGAGGCTTTAAATAAGCCACCACCGGAGACACTTTGAAGCAGAGAGTTCTCAACCAGAGCTGATCTTGTGGCTGTTCACAGGAGCTCGAGCTGTCCGTCTCAGCTGGCTTATGATGGTTGGGTTTGTGGTAGCTCTGAGCTGAGACTCAATCAGCATCTTTCTGTCGGTGACAGAAACGTGCTGTGAGGGCTGGAGCTCCAGATAGGGCTGTTCAGAGCTGTTGTACCACACACAGTGTTCCTTCAGTGCGTGGCTGGCGTGCTCAGTGCTCCTGGCCTGGCTCTGTGTCAGTGGTATGGCTTTAAAACATTAGCTAGTTTGAATATATCATTCTCTTAGATACATTTTTACTGGAAAAATGCTTTTGAAAGTGGCAGCTGATGCTTCAGCCACAACATCCAGTCAGTCCCTGCAGTAAAATAAACACCAAGTGGCTTGTGATTGATTTTGAAGAGCCCGGTCACTGAACTGGGGAAAAACCTCTGGCTCAGGACCAGGGATTGCAGTTACTCCAGTACTCCACTGCGTGTAGGTTATTGTCTGGGCAGGTAGGAGTGAAAACCAGTGACAGGTTAATCTGTAATTCATTGTGTGGTTAAGTTGGGATGACTGTGCCTGGCAAACCCAAGGTAAATACTTTTGGAGACGCACGAGTTGCGTGTGTTTTGTTGGAATTCCACTTTTCATCCAAATCCACCTTGACCTTAGTTTCCAGTGAAGCAGAAACTTTGCATTTGCTGTTCTCAGGCTTGAAGGTTTCAGAAGGGGCTGTATCCGTGTAAGGAATTGCAAACCCAGTGTGGCAAGCAGTGATGTTTCCACGGGGGCTGAGCTTAGGCATCCTTTTCTGGTTGGAGTTGCTCATCAGCGAGTTTAGCTGATTACAGTTGATGAAAATCAGCCTTTCTTTTTATAGTGTTTTGCACGTGTGCTCTAGGAACAAGATTGGAATCGGTTGCTTCGTGTGAGGTTTCCTGTTACTGTAAATTGCAGTTGGAGCTGGAATTTTTCAGTCCCTTTGATCCAGATCAGTCTGTTTTAGATGCAGTTTGAGGTTGCGGAAAACCTCACTCTAATATTAGAGAGAATTTCTCTGTTTCTGCATTTCCCCTGGGGCTGTCTTTGCTGGTGCCTCCTCTATCGCTGATGGCATCAGTGATAATGCTTGGCTGGCAGCGAGGTGTGTGTGCACCTACCAGCCACAGCTTGCAGGGAGGAAACCCCACGGCCGTTATTGCACAGAACAAGCACAAAGTGAAGCTTTCAAAGGATGTCATTTCCTTTCCTTGCCTGGCTGATGACATTCACTGCTCTCACCCTCATCCCCTGTTCTTCCATTGCTGGTTGTGCTGTCTCAGTGCCTCTTTAAGAAGGATCTTGAGGCTCTCTCTGGTTCTCTGTGTTCCTGTGCCCTGAGGTTTTGTCTGATGAGCACTGTATGAGCAGCGGGGTGGCTGGGAGGGCAGGAAGGAGCTGTGATGGGGTTAAGGGTCCCGTGCTGACAGTCCCACTTTGCCTCTCCCATAGCTTCTCCCTACAACCGCTGCAAGGGCAGTATCTACCTTGTGTTTGACTTCTGTGAGCACGATCTGGCTGGTCTCCTCAGCAATGCCCACGTCAAGTTCACACTCTCAGAGATCAAGAAAGTGATGCAGATGCTATTGAATGGACTTTACTACATCCACAGGAACAAGGTAATGTACCAGATCCATGCTCTTCATGGCTTTCCAAGGAGCATATGTCTTAGCACAGGCTGGAAGGGAGTCCAGACTCCAAGTGCCCTCTAGCACTAGGTACCCAAGGAGGGGACCTTCGTGGCTTAACCTTTTGGTGTCTGTCCTTATGCAGATCTTGCACAGAGACATGAAGGCTGCGAATGTCCTGATCACACGGGATGGAGTCCTAAAGCTGGCAGACTTTGGGCTGGCTCGCGCCTTCAGCCTGGCTAAGAACAGCCAACCCAACCGCTACACCAACCGCGTGGTGACCCTGTGGTACCGGCCGCCAGAGCTGCTCCTAGGTACGAGGTGCTGGGCTCCGCTCTTCTCTGCCCTTCTCCTTCCCCCAGGTGACTAACACGGCGTCTCTGTTTAGGGGAACGGGACTACGGCCCCCCCATTGACCTGTGGGGTGGAGGCTGCATCATGGCAGAGATGTGGACCCGCAGCCCCATCATGCAGGGGAATACGGAGCAGCACCAGCTCACCCTCATCAGCCAGCTCTGTGGGTCCATCACGCCGGAGGTGAGGGCGAGAGCATGGGCAGGGAGGAGGGAAGCGGTGATGTGGGCAATGGCTGGGATCAGGCACCCCTGGCTCCCTTCCCTGCTCTGTATGCTGGCTTCTGTGTGCTCCCAGTGCTGGAGCGTGGCAGGGAGGCTGGGGAAGCTCCTGCAAGTGCTGTTTGCCTCCTGGTGGCTGGGTGCACTGTGCTTCCCTTGTGTAAGCTACAGCTGACACATTACCTGTGTTCACCCTCTAAGGAAAAGAGGATGAACCTGGTCTTCCAGACCTCCTTTGCGAAGGGCAAGTTGTATCTTTGAGCACAGAGAGGATGCTGCCTGCTCCAGTGTGAAAGAGCAGAATGTTACATGTAGGAATCTGGCCTGTGTTTTGGGGTTGTCTCTGAGATAAACACCCTCTGAATTCCTGCTTAAAGAAGAGTGGGGTTTTTTGATCACCTTGAAAAGCCTCTGGAGTTCTAACTTGTGATTCGTGGCATCAGCTTAGCCTGGTGTGAGTGCTCAGCCCTTGCTCAGCTCCTTATTTAAGAGCAGCTTGTCCTGCCCTCTGGTGGGGACCGAGCTGAGGGTTGTGCAGGCAGCTGCAGAGGCCTCACGGTACATACATTGTGTGCATACATTATCTGTGTACACTGAAGGTGCTTTCTTTTGTATGTAAATACCTGCGGTGGTTGAGAGAAGTGCCCGTGATTGCATCATGCTTTGCTCTGTAAGGATAAAAGGTGCCACATACATCCCGGTTGTTATTTAGCAATGAGTTTTGTCACTCAACCTTTCTGGATGTTGGAGCTGTGCTCTCTAGTAGCAATTTTGTGGGAGAACCAGAACTCCTGGAGCATCCTGCGTGCCATTCCCACACCAGAAGGACGCTGTCCTGACTTGTCCATGCATCTCCAGGCTTTAGTGCACCTTTTAGTGCCTCCTTCATCCTGTGGGAACAAGGTCTGCTGGCTTGGAAGTTATAAACTAGCATTGTCTCAGCAGACCTTGCCCTGGTTTGCCTGAAGGGGTTCACATCAAGAATGGCTTGTCCTCTCCATAACTATATTGTCCCAACTCCCCTTTCTCCTGCCTCTTCCCAGGTTTGGCCTAACGTGGATAAGTACGAGCTGTACGAGAAGCTGGATCTCCCCAAGGGCCAGAAGCGCAAGGTGAAGGACCGCCTCAAAGCCTATGTGAAGGACCCCTATGCACTTGACCTCATCGACAAGCTGCTGGTGCTGGATCCCGCGCAGCGGATCGACAGCGACGACGCGCTCAACCACGACTTCTTCTGGTCAGACCCCATGCCCTCGGACCTCAAAAACATGCTGTCCACCCACAACCAGTCCATGTTCGAGTACCTGGCCCCGCCGCGCAGGAGGGGTGGGCACATGCCCCAGCAGCCGCCTAACCAAGGCAGGAACCCGGCTGCCACCAACCAGACCGAGTTTGACAGGGTGTTCTGAGCAGGGGCGGCCCCAGCGGGGTCCTGCTTGGGGGAATCCGCAGGTTGCATTGAGCAGGGATCGTCCCAGTGAGGTCTCTGCCTGGGAAAGGACTTTCTTCAAGGTGAAGTGCCTTGAACCGAGCTCTGTCCTCTCCTCGTGCAGCAGCTCAGCCGCTGTGGAGCTGTGTGACTGGAGAGACTTGTGTCCCTGCAGCTTTGCACAGAGCTGTGTCCCCCTTGCAGCAGCCTGTAGTGGTGATGTTCATCTTGCAGAGCGGTCGTGATGGAGAAGGTGACTCTCTTGGTGCTGAGGCTCTTGGCAAATGGTGCTGTGACCAGCCGGACTGGGGGCAGCTGCTGGGAGATGCTTCTGCTCTCTTGGTTGGTAGTGGCACCTCTATTAGCTCCTCTATGGTGTATCTTTTGAGCCCTGAAGCTTTGATGTAGGTTGAGGCAGGTGCTTCTGAGTAATGCAGAGCTGTCTCGGGGAAGGCAGCGTTGCTCTAGGCAGCATTACTAACTCACTGGAGTTGGGCTCCAGCCTAGTTTGGGCTTACTGGGTAAACTGGGGGGTGGCTGGCAGAGCTTGTTCCATACAGCCAGGATTTGCAGTGGGAATCGCTGGGCTGTAGCAGCAAGCAGCACCTTCATTGCAAGCTGTCTGCTCTCCCCTGTGGCCTCTGCCCTGGAGCTCTTGGCTCCAGTGTAGATCCAGGGCACTGTGATGGTGTGTGATCGCCTTCTGGACCCTTGTGGGACCAACTCAGTCCTTCCCAGCTCGCTGAGCACTTTGTCTTCCATGGCCATCAGCCACAGATGGCTCACTGAGCCCCATGGATCCCAACCAGGTAACGTACGTGCCATGCAGGGGGTGATAACCTTTGGCATCCGGTGGGTTGTCCGTTAACCAGGCTAATGGCTAAAGCCACGTCGGTAGCGTAAGGTCTCAGGGGAGGACGCAGTGGTGAGCGGGGCCGTTCTCAGGACACAAAGTGAGGCTGATAAAGGACATGTACAAGGTAAATCTCTTGGTGTGGGTCTCTGATTGCACCGGGGGGGTGTGTGTGTGTGGGGGGGGTTGGTTTCTTTGGCTAAACCAGGGTTGGTTGCAAGCAATAAGCCAGATGGCTTCAGCTGGTTGTGAATAAACACGATGCAGTCCAAAAGGGCTGGGTTTAACCTCTGTGTCACTCTTGCTGAGCGGGGTGAGCTGCCGCAGTGCTGGGATGCAGCACCTCTGGCCCTGCCGAGGACAGGCACCCAGTTTGGGGCTGGATGGGGGCATTCCCATGCTGGTGCCTTGCTCTGCCTGTTCCCCCCCGCAGGGTCAGCGCTGTTAGTGCTATGGTGGGTTAATGCTGCATGGGCAGCATTACGGGGTGCTGGGGGCACCGGGTGAGGGTGATGCTGCCGGGACAGGGGCTCCCTTGCGCCCCAGTGCGCGGTTGGGGGTTTGGGGTCATTCCCTGCACCAGCCCCTCCGCATCGCCCCGGGGGTGCCCCCCAGAGGTGCCTCCATGGTGCGGAGCGAAGGTTCCGGGTCCGTTATCCCGGTGTGCCACCCACTGCCCTTCACAAACATGTCGTTGTCGTCGTGTCCGTGTCCCGTCCCCCTGTCCCCCCCCTCCAAAACGTGGCGCGTGTTGCCCGTTTCCAAGATGGCGGCGGTGGTGGCGGGAGGGTGGGTGGGTGGGTGGGGGCGTGGCCTCGCGGTGGCGCGCCCGGGGCGGGGGGCGCGCGTGCCTTGGCGCGGCGGGATGGTGGCGCGGGGCGTGCGCGCGCTGCGCGGGGCGCTGCGGGGCGCGGGAAGGCGGTTCGGTACGCGGCCCGCGCGGGCCCCCGCCATGGAGTACCAGGTACCGGCTATGGGAGAACCTGGGGGGGGGGGGTACCGGGAGGGCTCCCCAGCCCCACCGGACCCGGGCCAAGCCGCAGGCCCGCAGCGGGCTCTCGTGGGGTGTCGGCGCTGCTGTGGCCCCGGTCCCGGCGTGCAGCCCGCGGCCGTTGCGCACCATCCCGGCCCGCAAGCCTGCGGCAGCCGTGGTGGCACAGGGCAGACCCCTGCCCTCTCCCCGGGATGCGGGGACCCCACCGCGGAGATGGAGCCTGTTGGAGGCGGGAGCATCCCCAGTGCCCCGTCCCTGCCTGCTGCGATGGAGCCCGCTGGCGCGTCCGTGCACCACGGACAAGGGCTTGTTCTGTGCCAGGGCCCCACTGCAGCACGCACAGCGCCGGGGCCAGGCCCGTGTCCCCCCCGTTCGGGGTTCGGGGTGCTCGGTGCCACCTGTAACAGCGGCACCGGTGTCCCACGTGCTCGCTGTTGCCTTAATCGGCGCCTCTGTTTAACCACCAGCGGGGCGGCACAGAGCACCGCCCGCGGCGCCTTTGGGTGCTGTGGGTGCTGGTGCGGGGCCAACGCCGCCCAGGGAGGCGCGGTCCCTCCCACTGTTAAATGCCCCCATCCCCGTGGCATCGCGGCGCCGGTGCTGCCGGAGAGCGGGGTTTGGGGGGCGGAATGGACGACACCATGGCGGAGATGCCACCGGGGTGGCTGGCAGAGGATGCTGAACCCCGTGGGGCGCTGGAGCGTGCACGGGGCGATGGGTGCAGGCCTGATGCTGCGGTGATGGGTACCGCTTTAACCACCCCTGTGCCGGGGGCTGGATCGTTCCAGGATGCCATCCGGACCCTCAACACCCTCCAGACCAACGCCAGCTTCCTGGAGCAGGTGAAACGGGAGCGTGGAGACCCCCAGGCCCAGCTGGAAGCCATGAGGGGCTTCTTGGAGAGGAGCGGGCTCAAGGTGAATGGGGGGGTATCCCCAACGATGTGCCCCCCCCATGCTGGCAGCTGGGGGTCTCACTGGGTGTTTGACCTCCGGCAGGTCGAGGACCTGGATCAATTGAACATCATCCACGTCACGGGGACGAAGGGCAAGGTGAGGCGGGGGGGGCGGTGCTGGGGGGGTCACCATCACTGGTCCCCTTTGCTCCTGGTCCAGTGGGACGGGAGGGGGTTTAACTCTGCTCCCCGCAGGGCTCAGCGTGTGCCTTCACCGAGTGCATCCTCCGCAGCTACGGGCTGAAGACTGGCTTTTACAGGTGGGAAAGGGGGTGTCAGGAGGGGTTTGGGGGGGTGCTGGTGGTGCCGTGCTTGACTGTGCCCCCCCCCCCCCTTCAGCTCCCCTCACCTGGTGCAGGTCCGAGAGCGTATCCGCATCAATGGGCAGCCCATCAGCAGGGAGCTCTTCAGCAAGTACTTCTGGCTCGTCTACAACCGCCTGGAGGAGACCAAGGTGGGGATGGAAGGGGGGCTCCCTCCCTTAGGACCCCCCCCCCCATGGGGTATGTGTCCCCTGCTGTCCCCTTACCCCCGCTGTGCCCAGCAGGACCCCGCGCACGGCAGCATGCCAGCGTACTTCCGTTTCCTCACCATCATGGCTTTCCATGTCTTCCTGCAGGAGAAGGTAAGGGGGTGGTGGCGCCCAGCTTGTGATGGGGACATGGCGTGGGGTGAGGATCCTTGGGGATGGGGCACATGGGGTCCAGCCCCATGCTGGGGCAGGACTTGCATCAGTTGTGCTGTAAGAGGGGATGCTGTGCCAAGTGGATGGTTTCCCATGAGTAAGGCACGTGTTCAGGTGTGGGTTTGCAGGGCAGTGATGCCTGCATCCCTGAATCCATGGGGGCACCCACTGCTGGTGGCTCTGATGGCTTTGCTGTCCCTGTGTCCCCAGGTGGACCTGGCAGTGGTGGAGGTTGGCATTGGCGGTGCCTACGACTGCACTAACATCATCAGGTAGGAGCTGTGGGGCAGAGCCTGTGCCTGTTATCCCTATGGTGGAGGGGGCAGCGTGGACACCACCACACTGCATCCCAGGGCACCGGTGGTGTGCGGGGTCTCCTCCTTGGGCATCGACCACACCAGCATCCTGGGGGACACCATGGAGAAGATTGCCTGGCAGAAGGGGGGCATCTTTAAGGTACGGAGACCGCTCCATCCTGCTCTCTGTGTTCGGGGTGCGCTGCCCGTGGTGCTGAGCACCCCTGTCCCCGCAGCCCGGCGTGCCAGCATTCACCGTGGCACAACCAGAGCGGCCACTGGAGGTGCTGAGGGACCGAGCGCAGGAGCGGGAGGTGAGCTGGGCGGCAGTGGGGTGGATGTGGGGCACCCCATAGGGAGGGAAGGGGGGCCTCAACCTCCTCTTCCCCCAGTGTCCCCTCTACCTGTGCCCGGAGCTGGATGACTTTGAGGACCACGATGCTCTGGAGCTGGGGCTGGCGGGCTCCCACCAGCGCAGCAACGCTGCCCTGGCCCTGCAGTTAGCACGGACATGGCTGCAGCGCCGCGGCTGCCGGGGTAAGGATGGGAGGGCAAGGGATGGGGGGGGGGTCAGACCTTGCCGTGGGCCCCAGGACCTCAGCACAGCCCCCATCCCATCAGGTCTTGGGGAGCTGAAGGAGATGCCACCAAGCACCAAGCTGGCAGGGAGACCGGTGCCATTGGCGCCTGCATTCCAACCCACCGATGCCATGATCCAAGGTGCAGTATGGACATGCCAGACCTCCCCCATCTCATAGGGCTTGGAGGGGAGGGGCATCCTGTGCCTGGCTGCCTGCCCCACATGTGGTCCCTATGGGGTCCCAGCCATGCCCTGTGCCCCCCCAAGGCCTGCGGGACACAGAGTGGCTTGGCCGGACCCAAGTGCTGCCCCACGGCCCCGTGACGTGGTACCTGGACGGGGCTCACACCACCAGCAGCATCCAGGCCTGCGTGCGATGGTTCCGCCAGGCTGCCCTCGGCCAGGATAGGCCCCACGAGTAAGGAGGGGACAGGAGGGGATGCACGCACAATGGGGGGTCCCCGTGGGGCGTGGGGGACCCATCATTTCTCTCCACAGCGGCTCCGAGGTGCGAGTGCTGCTCTTCAATGCCACGGGGGACCGGGACACGGCAGCGCTGCTCAAGCTGCTGATGGTGAGGTTTTGGGGTGCAGAGGGGGGGTGTCGCTGGGTTCTCTCTGTGCTGGGACCTGCTTTAGTGTCAGCATGGGGAGCAGTGAGGTGGAGCTGATGCTTTGTGCTCCTGGTTGTATCCCACCTCCATCCCTGGGTGCACGGGGGCACTCGGATCGCCCCCTCCCTGGACCCATCTTCCCTGGTCCCACACGTGGGTCCTGCAGGCTCTGTCTCCCCACAGCCCTGCCACTTCGACTACGCCGTCTTCTGCCCCAACTTCACCCAAGCGACATCAGTGACCAGCAACGCAGGTGGGTGTTGGGGAGCCGGGGTCTGCTCCATCCCCGACTCCCCTAATCCCTGACCCCATCCCTCGCAGACCAGCAGAACTTCAACGTGACGGTGGAGAACGCCCTCACCCGCTGCCTGCAGAACCAGCAGACCTGGACACGGCTGCTGGAGGAGAAAGGGGGCCAGGACCCCTGGCTCCCAGCCCCACTGCGGGTCGGGGGGCTCCTGCAGCCGGCCCCTTCCCGAGGGACCCTGCTCCTCGTGCCCCCGTCCCCACGACCCCTCAATTCCCCGTCCCTGGTGTTCCCCTGCCTGGCGCAGGCGCTGCGATGGGTGGCGCAGGGCCGGGACCCCCACCTGGCAGCACCCATGGGTGCTCACCCGCACCCTGCTGCCAGCAGCGGGGCCGTGCTGCTGCGGGAGGCGGCTGCCATCCGTGTCCTGGTCACTGGGAGCCTGCACTTGGTGGGGGGGACCCTGCGGCTGCTGGACCCCACTTTGTCCCAGTGATGGGGGTACCCCTTGGAACACCCTGAGGATGCTCAGAGGCGGTTGGGGGGTTCAGGGGACCCCCAACTCCATCCTGCCTTCACCCTTTTCACCCCAGTGCCTTTTGCCTGTGCCCCCTATGGGGACATTGGCTATGGGGGGGATGCTCATGGCCCCCAGCCCACCTGATTGGGAGGACCCCTCATTCTAAGGGGGTTGCCCCATGGTGTACCAGGGGGGGTGTGTGTGGTTTTGGGGGGCAGTAGGGGCAGTAGGGGGGAACCTCA